TCTAATCTGAGATCATTCCCTTAAATGGGAGCACTAGAGGAGCAATGGTGGGAATTTGATTTATGAGCAAGGAAGAGCCTGTCATTTTGCTGCCTCAACCTTTAATAAAACGATATGAAACTTGCCATCATAAAAAAAAAAAGTCATGGAGAAAGAACAACTGAGAAACATTAGAGCTGAGATATTTCCGAGATGGATATTGCCAGCACTGACACAGATGATTGTCTTGTTTGATGGCATTTTGTTGGAGATAAATGTTTAAGAGGCAGAGGAGCCAGTAGAGCGTTAGATGTGCCTGGATTATTACCCATGATCCAACTGATGTGGCTGCCAGAAACCAAGTGTGTGAGATCACTGATGGATGAGTAGCAGTGAAATTAACAGTGAAATGTGGAGGTCAATATACAGTCTCCAGAGCATGTAGTTTCATGGCTCTGCTGTAACACATTAAGAGGTAGTTTTTGTTTATGTAACAGAGCTGCCAATTCTTGCTAGTACTGTGACATTTCAAAGAGGGTGCAGACAAGTTTAGAGATTTTATATAGCTGTGAGTCCACTGATAGTTATGAATAATCAAAACTAGTTATAATTGCTACCTTATTAACACAACAGTTCTTCTAATATTAGATAGATATTAGATCTATCTATCTATCTATCTATCTATCTATCTCGTACCGGCAGGGATTGTAGGTGGGGGGAGTGAATGTCCAGCGCTCTCTCCCACCTTCAATACCACGACTGAGGTGCCCTTGAGCAAGGCACCGAACCACCAACTGCTCCCCGGGCGCCGCAGCAAAAAATGGCTGCCCACTGCTCCAGGTGTGTGTTCACGGTGTGTGTGTGTGTTCACTGCTGTGTGTGTGCACTTTGGATGGGATAAATGCAGAGCACTAATTCCGAGTATAGGTCACCATACTTGGCCACATGTCACATGTCACGTCACTTTATCTATCTATCTATCTATCTATCTATCTATCTCACATACATCTAACTATATAATTTTTAAATACAATTATTTCACATATTTCAAATATTTCATTTGTTATTATGGATATACACTATTGTTTAAAAGTTTGTGATTGGTAATAGGGTTGCAAAACGGTGATAAATGTCCGGTAAATTTCTGGAAACTTTCCAAAAATCCCTGGAATATTCCAAAAAATCCTGGAAAGTTTCCATAATTTCTGGAATGTTTCCGAAGTTTACTGGACATTTTCCACCTTTTTGCAACCCTAGTTGGTAATATGTTTTAAAGTTACTTATGTCACTTAAAATAAAATAAAAAAACAGTAAAATAATATATATATTTTTTAATATTATTGCAATTCAAAATAACTGATTACTGTTCTAATATATTTTAAAATGTAATTAATTCCAGTGATGGCAAAGCTGAAGCACTTTTAGTCCTTTTTATGTCCCAGTTTACTTTTAATAATTTTTTTTAATGTATTTCTCTTTCATTATGGTGATGATGATGATGATAATGATGACGATGGTGGTAAACAATATCTCATCAGACATGCTGCTTAGTGAATGGAGGAGTGCTGATGGTGCTTCCTTTGGAGGGAACGCCTTGGGCTTTAGTAGTACCCTCATTAAGAAAAGTAGGTCAGGCCGCATGTGTGTATATGTGTTCACCTCTGTCTTGCCCTGTAGTGACACACGAGAGAGAAAGACATACACGCATATATGAAGAGAGACGAGGCTTACTGTATCTGGCCTACTAATAGAGAAAGTGCCACAAAGTGCAGAGAACAATGAATATTGTATGGCTTGTGATGTGGAGCCTGGGAAAAGGGGGACGTTTGGTGGGGAGAGTGGGGTTTTCTGGCCCATCCCCCAGCATGCTCTGCTGCAGCAGCACAGTGCAAACCTGCATGCTAGTGCCAGTGAGAGAGGGAGAGATGGGTCAGACAGGGTTCCTGTGAGTTTAGTATTCTGCTCTGAGCCGCCACACTCCAAGGGTTTACGTTCACAGTTGCGCTGGCAACCAGAGCCTCACAACCGTAGCCATGGTTACTGCATATTTTATGCACCAATCACAGAGAGCAAGTTGTGACAGAAAATCCAGTGAGGGCTTTTTGTCTCTGCCACTTTGAAGAACCGTCTGCACTACTGGGTTAAGAGCACAGGACCCTACTGCACTCCGGACATGCTAAATCATAATGCATTGTGGGAAAATACTAAAGAACATAAAGGATATTCATTATATAAGTATTTGTCCACTACCCTGAACAAAAATTTTCAATAGATTTATTAAAAACTAAAATAAATAAAAGTTCTTTAGTGGCTGTGATTTTCTGCATATTCTAAATAGTCTGAAATGTTTTTATCTATTGAAGACTGGAATGTACTGTAGCTGTATGAGTTTGTGTTTGGAAAGTCACAGCTGTTTTTGGTGCCACATTCAAGATGGAATGGTTCAATCTTGTATATACAAACAGACACACACAATCTGCTGCCTCATATATAATCACATGTTCTTACACTGGCAAACTTTGCTATTATCAAAAACAGCTGAGCAAACATACACACAGTGACACATGCACACTGATGAATGAGGTTGCAGTTCAAACACAGGCTCCTTGTATTAACCTCAGATGTTCAGTTCTGTTCAAGTTAATGAGTGTATGTGGTTGACAGTGTTGTCCGCCAGTATAGTCCTTTGTAAAGGCAGTTGATGTGGTCTAGCTGAAGGGAGGCACAGGAGAAATCAGGAGAGCAAGAGACATAAACATCTGTTAAGTGCTGTTGGTCTTTGTATTAACAGGGCCAACTATAAATCAATAAACAATTATTAGTTATTCCTAATGATCCCATTGTCATTTTTTGTCATATACTGTATATATATATATATATATATATATAAATATATACACGTGTGTGTGTGTGTGTGTGTGTGTGTGTGTGTGTGTGTGTGTGCACGCCTATCTGTATTTTTTATATGTATATATTGTATATTACAGTTAATACACAGACACACACACACATACACACATATACTGGTTTCCATTTTTTGTGGTGACATTCCATTGACGTAACAGTTTTTATACTGTATAACTGTATTTTCTATCCCCTTACCCTAACCCTACTCCTAAATCTACCCCTCACAGAAACCTTCTGCTATTTTAGATTTTCAAAACACTTCATTATATGTGATTTATAAGCTTGTTTCCTCGTGGAAAACGTCTCAGGATACTTATGTAACCATGGTTCCCTGAGTAGGGAACGAGACACTGCGTCCTCTAGGGGTCGCTATGGGGAACGCCTCGTCGTGACCCGTGTCTGAAGCATACATTGAAAAAACACCAACTCGTAGGCCGGCGACAGCCATGACGTCACTTCCGGTGCGACTATAGTATAAATAGGCGCCGGGAGCACACATCATTCACTTCTTCGTCTGAAGCTTGCGTCCGCAGCATGGCAAGAAA